TAAAACGAGTGTAGAAGATTAATTTTCACTTTAATTTTTAAGGGGTGTTTTGATATAATCTACAACACTTTATTGAAATTGAACTTAGTCGAAAATATGTTACTTCAAATACATACAAAATCAACGTTTTAAAAGACTAAATCTGTATTTTATGTTTCGTATTGGATATTTGTTACCAGCTACGAATAATGCTCAAATCATAAAATCTACGAATACAAGTTACCCGGAGCAAAATGTTCGAACTGATAGGATAATATTACCAACAGTCGATATAGGCATGTCAACGTTAGAAAATTTATTTAATTTAAATTTAACAAATATTTCACACACATTTTGAATTGTCTACGAAATGCTTCTGCATCCATATTATGCGAAACAATTGGTAAAAAACGTACAATAAGTAGATATTTATTAAAAGATCGAATCAAATACTGAAAAGCGAACAGTGGCGCCATTGAACGATAAAATTCGGAAACAAGGAATCAGGAAATATTTTGTAAATATTTTGGAAATCGATGATTCAAAGCCAATGGTTCTGTTCTTAAAATATTTCTAATGCGTGTCCAGTGAGTAAATAATTGCTGTAAATTACGATTTTTCATAAACAGTTATGATATACTACAATGATCTATATTAATATAATTAATATAGAATAATTAATATATATATAATTATATATATTATATATAATCATAATACTATAATAATCTATATTACTATAATAATATAAATTACTATAATCATCATTACTATAGTCATCTAGCAGTGAATTTCTTGAAGCACGAATGAGGTAGACGAAGAGACCAATTAGCATCACGGACAAGGGATCGAATGAGGTATAAGATGTGTTAGCACACACGAGGTATAGGAGACTTATACTTCGTTCCGTACATTCCGTGCAAATGTTTTCATTGTTCCGGTTACTGTCGTTTCTGTTTCTCTCTGTCATACTATTTCTGGTTAAATAGCTTCTTCGTTCATATTTTTGTATAGTTTTCCAACTAATGGCAAAGTTTGAATTTACTTTTATATTATCACTATTCTTACCATCATTATCTTCTGTTGGTAACGTATCTGATACCAATAATGATACCAAAATGATAATAATGGAAATAAGATAAAATTTTAGATTCATTCGAATATCACAGACGAGATTCAGGAATACACCTAACGCTCAATGTAAACTTATGTCGCCCAAAGAAGTGAATATCGTTACCGATATTTGAGATATTTAAGCTTGTTAGCAGAAATCGAGTATTCCGTATACCTCGTTTGCATTGCGACACGTTTTCTGATTTGGAGACCGCAAATTCGTTCGTTGCATTAATCTATATATATATATATATATATATATTATACTTCTAAGTATTATAATATAATATAATAATAAATAAGTATTAATACTATATATATATAGTTATTTATTAATAGTTATTAATAGTTATTTATTATTTCTAAGAGGGCATTTCACCTAATTATTTACATCAGGAATACATAAAATTCGTGGTCCACAAAATAACGTAAACTTCAAGATGAAATTCCAATAAATTAAATTAAATGAACCAACTTCAATAATCTCTTCGATTATTACTGATATAAGGAACAATTTAATTTTGAAAAGATAGGAGGAGACCATGATAGGATATTATG